CAAAACAAATACATATTTTAAATGCAAGGCAAGTTGAGATTTATTCTTATGTTTATTTAATACATCCCATTTTCCTAGGTCATGAGCTAATCTGGAAAATGGATCCATTCGAGTAGCTCTGAATTTAGCTCACAAAATGGCTTTCATTCCTGTTGTACGCAAGTCTTGAAACCAAATGGAAGTGTGTTCTTGGCTGTAACTCAGTTTGCTTCTCCTTTCCCTGATTTATGATACAATAGCAAAGACAGAGCAGCTCTACATGGCTGTGTTCAAAGCACTGCACAGCAACCTAGAGTTAAACTTCCCCCTTGCTCCCTAGCCATACTGTATTCCAGCGTCATTACTCTTGAAAATGGTGGCAAGTCCCAATGTTTTATGAAATGCTATAATGCTTGTCCCAAATGCATCTTAGGAATGTCTTGCTGTAGAGCAATGTAAAACCCACAATGACTGAAGCTGAAGCTGCTGCAGCAACCTTTGTGCTGAATATCAACCTCTCACTATACTGAGTGCTAGAAAAGGCTAAAAGTGAATCACAGACATGGCAATTACTGATTGAAGAAACACAGCCGCATGCAGCAGAGCAAAAATAAAAAGTAGCAAGATGCTAATCTATATCTAATCACTAATTTATGTTTAATCCAATGTCAACAAAATCTTCCCTCTCAACACAGCATTTCATCTGCTCCATAATATAATAAATTAAAAGGTTGTTATAAACAAGTTATTGCTCCAAAGGAAAGAAAACATAATTTCTGTCATAGACTTCCTGAATAAATATAGAGGTAAACCTGTTCCCGTATTATGCTGAATTTTATAAAGGTACGTTACCTGAGAAAAACTGGGTATCTTAAAGGACAAGGACCATCTTTTACAGTGGCTAGGAGACTAGAGAGCAGGCTAATGGGGATGATTTGCTTAAATGACTGGAAAAAGGGAAACATAACCCCCAGTTTTAAAAAGGAAAAAAAGTAATACCTGGGGAACTAGAGGCTGATAGTGCCCCTATGTGCCCAGCAAGATCATGGAGCAGATCCTCCAGGATACTGTGCTAAGGCACTTGGAAAATAAGGATATAATTGGTCACAGTCAACATGGCTTCATTAAGTGTGAGTCATACCTGACAAATTTGATGGCCTTCTATGATTGGACTACAACACTGGTGTATTGATGAAAACTACCTGGAACTGTGCAAAGCATTTGACACTGTCCCATATGACATCCTTGTCTTTAAATTGGAGAGACGTGGATTTGACCACTTGGTGGTCAAGGAACTGGCTGGATGGTTGCACTCAAAGAGTTGCAGTCAACGGCTTGATGTCCAAGTAATGACCATAGCCTGGTCTACGAAACATAGCCAAGGAACTTTTAGAAATTCAATAGACTGTATAGGTTCTTTTTGCACGATCCTTTATATGATTTTATAGATTTGCTTATTTTTGTTTTAGCACATAATCCTTGGTCAAAACTCAGCTTTCCAGCCCCAATTTTTAATGTTTTAAATTTGAAAATTTTCAAATAACTAAGACATGTAATTTATCTAGATTGCCACTTGGCGGCACTGTTACTGCACTTAAGACACAGGTTTTTAAAATGTCTGGAGAAAGATTTCTACTATTAAATATTGTTGGTTTTTTGAGTATTTCTTAAATCTAAGCTAAATCAAAATTATAAGGAGGCCTGGAAATATTTGGCAGCTGGCAGCACTGAAATACATCATTATTAGATCTATCTTTAGTCATGACATTATCAAGTTAACTGAGTGACATCTAGGATTTTTACCCATATGTGATACTGATTAGAATAGCTGTAAAACACTACTGAAACTGAAAAAAAAATAGTTCAAGTCAGTCATATATTTGAGGAAGCTGTTAGATGTTTTTACAAGACTGACTGCAATACATGGTTTCTAACAAATGGAGAAATAATGTTTCCAATTATTTCAACTATTCTGTAATTGTATCAACATGAAATTCCAGTAACAGAAAGTAAAATTCATGTATTTCCTGTAATTAGGTTCTTAATATCACATGTGAAAGGCAGTAATATTTTTAGCCTATATAGTTTGATACCCTACAAACTAACATGCTTAGCAGGTCAGTTTGTAACTTTTGCAGAAGGAATCTGGAAATTAAATAGCTGAAGTACAGCAGGCCATGATGGAGGTACCTTAGAAATGTGTCTGAAGAA